TAGTTGAGACTGACCTGGAACTCACTATGTAGCCTGGGTTGATCTTGAACTCAGTCTTCCAGCCTCTAGAATTGCAGGATAACAAATTGTATTCTTAAGATAAAACAAAACAGCAACATCAAAAAGAAGAATTATTTTCTCTGAATGTTGCTTTTTTACTGGGAGGAATTCATGAATCATTTTTTAAAAATTTTATTGGTACCTTTAGATATACACGATGATAACATTCTTCATAAGGAATTTGTACCTGTACATGATGTTTTGCTTCCTCATTTTTTTCTCATTCTTCTTCCCTCCTGAATGTTGCTGTTTGGTGGTCTTCTATATTTTGTTTCATAAATGGAATACCTTTCCCCTGCTGGGTATGTTATATATATATAGATATATAAAATAAAATATAATATATATTAAAATAATTTATTCAGCTTCCTTTACCGTCTTGGTTTCTGTCTTACTTTTCTCATTGCTGAGACAAAATAACCCACACCTGACATTAAAAAGGGAAAGGTTTATTACAGTTTGTAGAGGTTTCAGGCCATGGTTGGCTGGCTCCAAGGCAGAGTGCCACATGGCAGAGGGCATGATAGAGGAGAAACAGTTCACTGCAGGCAGAAGACAGCAAAAGCAAGAAAGGACAAAACAAGCATCTTCCTGTCCTTTATACTGTATCCAGGCTACTGGGATTAGGGCGGCGCCAAACCAGTCAGTGGAGTGATTTAGTAATCACTAATCATGTACCCTTAATCCCAGCATCATATACTGTAGATTCAGCCACCTCTGAAAAACCCCACTTATGACTGCGTGAGGCTTGGGACAGCTAGACCCAAACCATAACAGTTTACTTAAAATAGCTTTGCTTATTTGTTTTGGTGTTTTATTGAAGGAATTTTCCTTATCTATGTAGTTTTGCATATCTTAGTTATGGCCAAGAATAAGCCACTAAAAAGGTACCTTCTCCAGTATTCTTTCCCTTAGCAGTATAACTTTATCTTTTCTTATCAAACTAAACATAAAAGCCCATATTGTTATGTATTATTTGTTTACTTTATTTATTTGGTGCTAGGCATCTGACCCAGGGCCTCATGCATGCTATTCAAGCTCTCTACCACTGAGCTGCACTCCCAGCCTCTATGTAAACCTGATCTCCTAACCACTACACCTAATAAGTACAGTTTTATGTTTTGTCTTTTCTTCCTGCATTGCTGGATATTGAACCCAGGGCCTGATGCATGCCTGGTAGATGCTGTGCTACTGGGCTATATCCCCAGTCCACAATTTTATGTTTTTAATATCTGTAGTTTATTTTGTGTCTTTGAATTCTCTAACCAAATAACAGTGTAACACTTTTATCCAAGTAACAATGTAACTGTTGTTTCTCCTACAGTAGGTTACTTGGAAAACTGGGCTGCTTTTTCTTTTTTTTTTTTTTCTGTGAGACTGACCTGGAACTCACTATGTAGCCCAGGCCAATCTTGAACTCACAGCAGTCCTCCTGCCTCAGCCTCCCGAGTGCTGGGATTACAGGTGTGCACCACCACACCCGGCTGGGTTGACTTTAATTACTAGGGATCAAACCCTAGGTCTCCACACTGAGCCACACCCATGGTAACTAGTTGTGTAGACTGAGCTCAAACTTGTGGTCTTCCTGCTTCAGCTCCCAGAGTGCTGGAACAACAGGCATGTGCCAGTATGCTTGGCTTTTACATACTTTAGTTCTTGTCCAAACTTTCCTGACTTCCCTGGCTCAGGTAGATAGTTCAGCAGTTTATCTGAATGTTATGATAGCTTTACTATTGTCCATTTCAATGTTTATTTTACCAATACTAGGCCTTTTTTTTAATGGTAATTTTCAGGGAAAACCAATTTATGTTTATATTGTAGTGAGTAGTGATATTTAGGTTAGAGTTAACTTATTTAATTTTAAAGGAAGAACTGTGATTATAGGAAAATATTTTTTAAAAAATATGCTTAAAGTTTTTTATTTGAAATATTTTCATGTTTGTACACAATAATTTTTATTTAGAAATAATCTCCAAGAGATAATCTTTATAAAACAACTATTGATTCTATTTAATGAAATAATTTTTTGGAGAGTTTTCTGTGAAAACAACTGTCGTGACAAGTCTTTATGGTTAAATTCTAAAGTTAGAGCTGGGTGTGGTAGTACACATCTGTGATCCCAGCACTCTGCGAGGCTGAGGCAGGAGGACTGCAAGTTCAAACCCAGCCTGGGCTCAAAATAAAAGAGTTCAGTGAGAATGTCCTGTGTTCAGCCTCCAGTATGGGAGAAAAATTGGAAGTTAGAAACCTTTTTTGTGAAAGAAGACAGATTCACAGTGCAATAACTCTTGAGCAAGGCCCATAGGCAGCTGAGTTTACCAGGGGCAAAAACTACTTAACCTCACATTTGGTCACTGCTGTTGGGTTACTGGGCCTGGACTGGTGCAGAGCAGTTCTCCAGTACAGGCCGCTGTGTGCTTGGCAGGGTGATCCTGGGCCAGTCTTCTACCACCCAGCACCCAGTCTGACTTCATCTGCAGAATGCCACTGACATCTGTCTCCTTGTGAGAATGAACTGAGGAGATTAAGTGTGTGTGTGCGCACGCGCGTGTGTGTGTGTTTGTGTATAGTGGGAATAGAATGCATGTTTGTGAACATACTCTCCATTAAGGTTGCTGCTCTTTGCTGATAAAACTGTTGTGTAGTACTTGTAGGAAGTTCTTCGCAGTGATAGAATTCAATGTGATAGAATTACAATAGTTTGAATATATGCAGGCAGTTGGATTCTAGTAATTAATATCTGTTATATGTAGAATGCATCACAGTCAAGATTGGATTTGTCCTGTACATTTGAAAGAGCATCTTTGGTGGATGCTCTTTGATTTTTTTGCCTGACACTGCTGCTCTTTAAACTAAACCAGATTTGGTGTTGCTTTTGTTTGCACTTAGATGGGATGAGTAGGGACAGAGCAAGCACATTAGGCCATTGTTCCTAGGTCGTTTTGTTTGTGGTAAGACACAATCTGGCTAAGATTACATCCTTCAGTCCTTAGTAAGCTGTCAGCTCAGACTAGACATTATTTAACTGAAATAACAGATACCAAATGCATTTTAATATTCTTTGAATTCTACCTGGATAATGTGGCTCATCTTGCTCTTTTATCCTCACAGAACCCCTGGAATGTTTGAATATCGGTCTCTTCTTGCCAGAACAGTGATCTAAACTCTTTGCTTTCTTTGGTAACAAAAAAAAAAAGAACTAACTAGCACAAGTACAGCTGTTAACCAGTTTGTAATGTATGTACACGTGTTTTGCCATGACCTTTGCAGCACCTTTGAAAGGGGATAGAGCTGGTGTTATATCCATTTACAAGTTCGGAAGTAGGGTTCTGAGGTGTTACTGAGTTGCCCAGCGTTACACTGCTAATCAGCAGATAGCTGGACTTTAAAACACAAGCCTTCGGATTCTAAATCAAAGGCCCTTTCACTCTCTCATAGTCCTGTGTCCCTTATAAATGAACAGGTCCATGTTCTAGTAATGTATTAACCCTGAAAGTCATTCAGCAGGGCAGGTAGTTTCCTTAAGCCTTTTTATCATAATTTACTCTGTAGATTCTTGGGACATTGGAGCATGACCCACATTTCATTCTGAGACTGGATCTCTTAGCACATCGCTGTGTTGATTCCAAATGTTTTTTACTTACAAAGGCTAAAGCAGTATGACATGTTTTGTTCTGATACAACAGTGTACTTATGGAGGGCCAGTGATGTAAGCTCAGCAGCACAGCACCTGCCTGGCAAGCACAAGGTCCTGAGTTCGATCCCCAGTACCAAAAACAAATAAGCAAAAAGCAGTGTACTTATGGAGAGATGATAAAGTTCAAATTTGAAATGCTACAAGAATACTATATGACATTTTAAATTGAAAATAGGTGCTTTAAATGTAAGAAAGCATTTTGCATAAGGAATAAAATTTAAGAGAAATATAAAAAAATAGAGTCCTCTACCAGTGATTCATTTGCCCAGCGACATATTACTATGTCCTTTGCTTTGTTACTGTGCTGTGTGAACACAACACAGTCGTGAATAAGAAGCCCTGCCCTGGGAAGGTCACCATGTAGGCTACCTTTCCAGGTGTGCAGTGTAACACAGCTTCCCAAACCACAGGCCCCGTTTCTGTTTTATGGTAAAGAAGCAATTTAACAGGTAGTTTGAAAGAAGTCAACGTATTTGGCAAATGAACAGCACTTTTCCCACCTAGATGATTCTGCACCACTGTCAGGGTCTGTGAGTACTACCCTAGAACCCTTTGTACTCCACAGAAATGGATCGCTTTCTGTGCAGAAGCTCTGAATGTAAACCTCACCCACTTATAGCAGTTAATGGGTAAAAAACCAGGACAATCTAAAAACTTTGAATCTTAGAACATTGAAATCAGCAGATTGTGAGTCTTTCTTTGTGCTGTCCATGTTGTGCATTGAAACGTAAAGTATTAACATGTTTCTTTTTGCTTTGTTTACTCTGGGTATGATAAGAACAAAATTTTAGAATTTTAAACTTGAGTTGCACTAGAGATTGACACCAACTCATCTGTGGCAGAGCATGGGCTGAACCCCCAGGCTTCTTGATATACCTAGTCATTTATGGTATGAAATTAATTTATAGGCCTGGGATTTAGCTCAGTGGTGCCACGCCTACTCATAAGCACAAGGTCCTGAGTTTGATCCCTGCTACCAAAAAAAAAAAAAGAATAAAATTTACTTATAATATTGACTTTAAAATGTCATTCTTGTAAACTTTATATCCAAATTCAGAAAAAATCTAACTTGTATTTTGAGCTATGGATAAGAATGTTTTGAGGCGGGCATGGTGGCACACACCTGTAATCCTAGCACTCGGGAGGCTGAGGCAGGAGGATCACTGTGAGTTCGAGACCAGCCTGGGCTACATGGTGAGTTCCAGCTCAGTCTCAACTCCATAGTGAAACCTTATCTCAAAAAACAAAACAAAAAAAAAACCCCAGAATGTTTTGACTCCAAAACATGCAGCATTAGGTGCAGCTTCCCGTTGTCACACCTGCCTTACTCACTCCCTCGGGGCTGGCCTGAGATGCCCAGCGGACAAATATTGCAGCACTTGGAAGCTGTGTGATACCATAACAACTTGTCCGCTCTTCTCCATGCGCACATCTTCTTAGACTCTTTGTCATAAGGCATTTTACTATACGCGCTTAAAGACTGGGATAGGTAAACCGCGTGGCATGGTTGAGTGGAGGGAGTAAGCCTGGTGTCGCAGTGCCTTAGAACTGAATGGAAATAATAAGTGGACTTAAAGTTGTTTTGCTGTTTCTCTAGCTTCTTCATTCCTTCAGCGTTTATTTAGGCACTTTTTAGACATCACAGATGCTCCCAGTAACACAGCTCTGTTGGTGACGTCTAGGAGCTGACGGGAAGACAGCCACATAGAGAACATGCATAATATTTGTATTGGAATGTGCCCTGTGACTGCGTTTGTTGAAAAAGGTGGATGTTGGTCATTTTTATTTTTTGATTTAAATTTATTGACATTCTCAGTTAACTTTAAAAAATATATTATTTTTTAAAAATGTTTTATTTTATTTATACATGGTTGCAGTACATGAAGTTTACATTCATCTTGACATTTATTTCAGTACATGTGCTGCCAAAGCAAGCAGCACACTGAGAAGTATTAACTTACCTGTTAATAATGAATTGAAATCCTTCCTCAAAAAATATAAAATATAGGGCCCGGGATTTAGCTCAGTGGTTTGACCGCCTGCCTCGCCAGTGCAAAGACCCAAGTTCGATCCCCGGTTCCCCTTCAAAAAACATATATATATAATTAAATATATAATATGTATGATATATTAAATATATATTAAAATATTAAACATCTTCCAAAATGTATACAATATATTGTAAAGTGTATAAGCCACATTTTAAGATGCAGATGATATATTTATATGTACTTTTAAGCTAACACTTCTTCTGCTTGGTTAGTCATCTGCAACATGCCCTGTCCACCTACATTAACATAGTGAGTGATCAGAGGAAATGGATCACTGCTGGTACCCTGATATTAGCCCTTGGGATTTACCTTTCTCTTTCTTTTAGTGTGATTTTTTTTTTTTTGGTACCAGGGTTCGAACTCAGGACCTTGCACTTGAGGGGCAGATGTGGTACCACTGAGCTAAATCCCCGGCCCTGCCTTTCTAAAGAGCAGAGGTCGGACTTGAATGATATCTGTGCCACAAATTGATTCTATGGGACTTATTTGTGTCTCAGTCTCCTTGTCTGTACAATGGAAAATAAAAATTCCTGCCTCATAGTTGTGAGGATTAAATGAGCTAATATGTACAAAATACTTAGATTAGTGCCTACCATTCATTAAAGGCTGTGACTTAATAGCTATCCTAATAATTATTGTGATTGTTATTACTTAGCAGATAAAAGTAAGTTGGGTGAGGTTTTGCATGTGCCTGTAATCCCAGCACTGGGGAGGCTGAGGCAAGAGGGTCACCTAGCACAGCCTGTGCTACATAGTGAGTTCAAGTCCAGCCTGAATTACAAAGAAAGACCCTGTCTCAAGGAAAAAATTGATTTTGCCAGGTGAGGTAACACATGTCTATAATCTCAGCACTGAGGAGGCAGCGATAGGAAGATTGTCAAGAGTTTGAGGCCACCCTCGGTACATAGTGAGACCCTATCTCAAAAATAAATAACATTACATATCTTGGTTTTAAATGCAATTAAATTAACTTTCAACTTATTTTGATGCTCTTACATTGAAAGTAGGATTGTTTGGTTAGGAAAGTCTTCCATCTGTATAGCATCAGTTTAGTTTTCCTAAAAAGTTTGCCCCAGACCTCTCACCGTAGAACATGCAGAAGATATAAACTCGCCCTAAAAGTGTTTGTGTGCTTCCTGTGCTTCGTGGTCATGGGGTGTCTTCTGCCTCCTAGGCAGCTCTTTCTTGCCTGTGCCACTGGTTTGTGCAATAGTGCAGCAGGTGTGAAACTTGGCTCTGACTCGGGAGGCCCTCTCCACACAGCATGTGCAGGTTTTGTACACTTAACTGAAAATGGGGAAATAGAGGTAGGTGAGCCTTGCTTTGCAGGAAGGCAGAAACTTTCCTAGTAAGCCCTCCCATTCTTAAAATGTTTTCAGAGCTCCCTTGACCTGAGTGCTTCACCCCCACCTAATCCCGGCTTTGCTCCATTATTCCAACTCCTCTTTTCTTCTTTCCTTCTCCTCATTATTCTTCTCCCTATTCGCTTCAGAGATAAAACAACACATTCTGCCCCTTGTCTAATGCAGAGCAATTTCCCTTTCTTGACAACCATTCTGGGATCTTGACAGCCATTCTGTAGAGGGCCACCCACTCCAGGGGACGGGACAGGAGAGGCAGGGGGCCAACCGAGGGAACATGTTTTCACAAAGGGAGTTTCTTCCAAGAGAAATTCTTGCGTTAGCCATTAGGGTGACAAAATAGAGAATTTCCCATCCTGTCAAATGGCAGCCGAGCATACCAGTCTCAAGATTAATTGAGTCAAGACTCAAATGAAGTGTTAGAAATCTGCAGAAAAACAAATATTTTAAATCTGAATCATAAACTCCAGGTGTCTTTGATTGAGGTTGATACCCTTGGGTATGGGGTATATTCTGCTTTTAAAGAAGCATGCTGCTTCCATAAAGGTCATGCATCCAGTGAGCACAAAAGAGTCACGCATGCCGCCTTGCATTGTTATATTTCATTTTTTTTTCCCTTCTTTTTGCTAACAGGGTTGGAACTCAGGCCTTGGGCGTACTAGACAAGTGCTCTGTGGCTGAGCTACGCCATCCACCCTTTTCTTTGATTCAGAGGCAGAGTCTCACTTTGTGGCCCAGGCTGGCCTCCCACTCACGACCCTCTGCCTCAGCCGCCTGTGCATCCAGAACTACAGATGTACCTGGCAGGACTTTTTTTTTCTTTCAGCTTGTATGCAGACAAATTGTATTTCTTAAAACCTAAAACAATGTGGAAATACACTTTTTTTTCCAGGAAGTAAGCCTTTAATATTTCTATTTACCCATCAGTCTACCCCTTATGGGTATGAATGAATCTTTGATTTCTCTTTGCTAAAAAGAAGCGTCAGATTTTTTCACTTTTATGTCAGTTTTGAGGGTTTGAAGGGAGTTCACTACATTGTGGTAAGCTGATCATGTTCTGATTGTGTATAAATATACATGAGATTCATGAAAACTACTTTTTTCCTTGTTATGTATGAGCCGAGGCTTACAAATTGTTTCTCATAGATAATAAAGAAGAGGAAACCTAACCAATTACTGTGGAGAAATATGGAAGAAGATGGAAAAAACTTGTTTAATGGGTAAGAAATAAAAGAAAACCTTCTTAGTGAAAACTGTTCATAAGAGTATTATGCATGGTCAGTTGTAATATGACAATCCTATTAGGATAAGGGATTAATCACAGCCTTTGTCTTCTCCCTGTTCTGAACTTTGATTGCCTGCTTCCAACTTAACCTTATAAAATTTTTAGTACCATGAATTAATTTAAGCTGAGGGGAACACAGTCATATTTGAACATAAAATGGGATATGGAGACCAGCAAAACTACTAAATCAAGTAGGTCTTGGCATTTGCTGGTGAGTGAGTGGATGGAGCTTGTCTCTCTCCTGGCTGTCAGGAGTCATTATCTGCCCCTTCTTTCTCTCCAGATGCTGCCAGCTGCTGTGATAGTGGGCTCGCCATGGGGGAGCTTGTGCACTTGAGCAAGTCGAGATGTGTGTCAGGTGGTAAGCAAATAGAATTCTTCAAAAGCCCAATAAAGTGTGTGACTAAGCTTATGAGATATAAAGAACTTTTACTCAATTCCATACTTTTTTTTTGGTACCAGGGATCAAACTCAGGTCCTTGCACTTGTGAGGCAGGTGTGGTACCACTGAGCTAAATCCCCAGCCCTAGTCCATACATTCTTATTGTCAAAATTTAAATATCACAGATAAGCAAGTCCCTCTACATGATTCTTAGTCCCTTTCCATGGTCTATAAACATTGCGTATATTTATGCGGCCTACCTCTTTGATTAGTGGTTGAAAACATGGCTTTGGATCAGGGATTTAGCTCAGTGGTGCCGCCGCCTACCTCACAAGTGCAAGGTCCTGAGTTCGGCCTCTGGTGCAAAAAAAAAAAAAAAAAGAGCACATTAAATAAATAATAGTAACATTAAAAAACAAAAAAACATGGCTTTGGAGCCAGACTGGTTTTACCATGCCTGCAAAAATAACTGTGTTGAAGCAGGAAGCATAGTTCTTTTGTGTCCAGAGAGCTGTGTCAGACTCTCTGCTCAGTGTCTGTCACTCTGCTTAGAAGGACAAGTCTTTTTGAGTTTCTTTTCTTCTCTGCGCAGGATCATAGGAGCACTGAAAATGTCTTGGATGCTTTGCTCATGGCTTGTGAGCACTTTCTTAGGGTTTGCAGACATTTGCTTGTCTTGAGAGAGAGGAGGACACTGCAATAAACATCTTTCTTAGGATTTCCCTCTTGTATGACCCTGGAGCTCATCAGGTTATTAGGAACTCCTCGATCCACTGTGACTAGAGTGAAGCTGTTTTAATAGACTGTATGCAGAAACTGAAGTCAGCGGGTGCCCAGTATTGTATATTGTCAGGCAGTGTTTTAAGTGTTTACCATATTCATTACCTCCTTCAATGCAGCCATCCACGTAAGGAGTAGATATTATTGTGATTTGCATTTTATTTATTTTTATTTTGTTATTTTGAAACAGGATCTCACTATGTAGCCTAGGCTGGCCTCATGGTGATCCTTCTGCCTCAGCTGCCTGTGTGCTGGGATTACAGGGATGCGCCATCACACCTGTTTTATTTTCATTTCAAAGATGAGAAAAGTGAGGCGCAGATTAAGTAATATGCTGGAAGTTGCATCCCAAATGTTACATTTGGGATTCCAATGTTGGTCAGTGTGGTTGACCAGGGGCATGCTGGCCTGGTAATAAACTGCAAGCTCTGCTAAGGGGTGTGAATTTAAAAAAGACAGGAAAGCCAACTATCTTCTGGGAAAGTTGCTGTCACTGCTTTGTTTTTGCCTGCCTGTGGGATAAACCTTTGAAACCATGTATCTTCTCAGCATGAGAAAAGTAAAGAGGAGAGATAGTTACTCATGAGTAATTATTTTTCTTGACCATAGTTCAGTGGAACTGTTTGGGAAAGAATTGTTTGTAGTGATAGAACCACCTGCCTGGCTAGAGAGCAGCACCTGTTTATTCACAGAAACATGCAGCCTGAAAGACAGGACTGTGCAGCAGTTTGGAACTGATCGGTAATGGGAAATTGCTCTTTTGTCCTGTTAAATAATATTTGAATGACAGTTAGCAGAAAGTTGTGCAAGAGAAGAAAAGCCAGGAGAAAGGTGACTATGGGTCTTAATAATTAGAATGTCACTTATAAGTGATGGTCTAGAAAATAAGTGTGCATTAACAATTGACACTTATACATGAACAGGAAGGAGTCAGAGTTAGTTTTTGTTCTGAGGCCTGTCTTGTCAAGCAGAAGCATTGGCTTTTTTCTTCAAACAGCACTTCACTTCCTGTTGAAATTAATGTTAAAGTACAAAAAGGGAATGATATTTAAAGGTACAAATGTTTCAACCTTCTCTTGAGTCTTCCTCTCTTTTTTTACCCCCTTTCCTTGTTTGAGAATACTTTCAAATGCTGATCAAAGTTATGAGTCTTCGAAGATGTATCTTTTCAAAACAGTGTCTTCAAGGGCGGTCCAGGCAGTGCAGAGGCTTTCAGGGACTGATGAGGTCAAAACTGTTTTCACAACAATACCACAACTTTATTTGCTTTTCCCACTCCCGTTCACTCAGGAGTGTCCAAAGGCTGTTTTATGGGAAACTGACTGGACGCTGAAGCCGGGGGTCCAGCTGTCTTTCTTAATTAATATCAGACATTAAAAAGATTGTAAAACGTAAAATGAGGGAGTGCCTTGAGCAGCACTGTGGTTTGTTTCTGTGTCACTATATTACAACAGTTTGCTCTCAGCCCTTTTATTTTACAGTATTAATTGAACAGCAGTTATGTGCCAGTCCAGTTGAAGGAGATATAAACAAGGCTGTGAACAAAATAAAAACAGCAGTCTCTGCCCTCCTGGAGTTTAGGTCCTGTTTTCCCTGCCATGCCTTGCCTGCGCCCGCCTCCCACCATGAAGCGCCCTCTACAAGGGCCCCTCAGAGCTGATGGCTGTGGTTGGTCCCAGTCATGAGTGGTGTTTCCCACTGGCTGTGAGCCAGTGGTACTATACTCGACATTTTGTGATTTTTGACTTTTTCATAAGACATCAAAACTGGACCTGGTGGTACCCATCTTTAATCTCAGCACTTGGGGAGGCTGAGGCAGGAGGTTTGCTGTAAGTTTGAGGGTAGCCTCAACTCTGTCTCAAAAAAACAAAACTAGAATGGCACTGAATAATGAGAGGTGTTTTTTTTCCTACCTTACATGGAACCACAGTGGATCTACCCAGTCGTTCTTGTGCTTGATTTAACCTGATTTTGTTTTCAAGGTCAGTGCCAGTTCTGTCAAGAAATTTTAACTTCAAAGAAAAATACCAACTGATTTAAAATTTCTTTTTTTTGGTATAAGGAAAAATTTTCATACATGTATGAGGTTTGCTTTGCCGAGTGAGCTGCTCCCATGACCCTGTAGTTCACTGGAGAGACTTCTGTATAGAAAGATATCACTTGGCTTATTAGACTGAGCCTCCTGATGAGGCCCTGGCTGCCATCTCCCCACCATGCCCTCACTTCAGCCACTTCCAAGTATAGCACAGACAGGGACAGCACTGGACCAGTAATGGAAGAGAACTGACCTGACTCTGAGTGGCCAAGAATGTTCTCTAAAGAGGACTGTAATCTGAAGATAGCCACTGTTTTTATATTGGTCATTTTGGCCTTCCTCTGCCTGAAGTACAAGAGGAAGTTTTTCATTAGAAATATCAAATGGCTGAGGTCCTCAGCCGAGGCTGGTGTAGTGGAGATGCCCAAGGTCCCCGCAAGACCTCTCTTGTTGTCATGCACGAGAGAGGCGGCATGGTCCTTTGCCTGTGCAGGGAGGAGGGGAAGTGGGAAGAATCCTTAGGTACGGCTCCATCCAGACTGTTGTTTTTGTTTCTCGTCCCATGCCTCACCCTCACTCTCAGATCTTTGTGGAACCTCCAGCTCCTAATCCTTCCCAGGTTCTGAGGTTGTAACGGCCTGTTTTGCTGCTTACTTCCTGTGGTGGAGGCGCATTTAAGTTGCCCCATGTTCTCATGTCTGTATAGTTTCCATTCCTCTGTTTACTTGCTGACTTCCAAAATTTTCATGAAACCCTCATCTGTTATTTCATCTTCTCTCATTTTTTTTTTTTTATGCTTTCTTTGTGACACTGAAGTTTGAACCCAGGGTTGTGCATGCTTTTCCAGTGCTCTACCACTTTTATTTTAATCCTCCTGTTTCAGACTCCTAAGTAGCACCTGAGATTACAGGTGTGTGCCACCTTGCCTAACTTCTCTTGTTTTTTTCGTTTTGTTTTGTTTTTTTTTTTAAGAAGGTCTCACTGTGTAGTTTAGGCTGGCTTTGAACTCACTATGTAGATCAAGTTGGCCTTGAACTCTTCGTGATCTTCCTTCTGCCTCAGCCTCCTGAGTGCTGGGATCACAGGCGTGTGCCACCATGCCCAGCTCTCATTCTTTTTTTGAGGGGAGTACGGGGATCAAACTCAGGTTCTTGCTTGCGAGGCAGGCGGTGGCACCACTGAACTAAATCCTCGGCCCCTCTCATTCTTTTTATTCTTACGAATTTATGTCCCCTTTTTATTCTTTTATTGTGATTTTACTACTAGTGTTTTAACAGAGTAAACATGTGCCTTAGACATCCTGATGTGTTTTACTGGGGGCCCAAGGTTTACCATACATGCAACATGCAGGAATTATGTTAAACACTTGATTTTTTTTTCTTTTAATTTAAAAATCTCTCACAGTGGCACGTGCCTGTAGTCCCAGCTACTCAGGAGGCTGAGGCAGGAGGACTGCTTGAGTTCAGCGATTGAGGTCAGCTTGTACTACCTAGTGAGACCCCTTCTCATAAAAAGAACCCTTTCAAATTCTATTGGTTTCAAAAATATATTCCTGTTAGTGTTATTCACCTAATTCTGAGCATCTCCTGCGTGTTCGGTGCTGTCATGCATATTATTTCATACCGTCACGTCAGCTCTGTAAGTCACATAGATAACTGCTCCATTGTAGTGAATCCTTAGGGTTTTTAGAACAGATCTGGAAAGATAGGAGGCATGGAGATCACCTAGCAGGTAGAGCAGTACTAATGTAGGTTCAGGTTCAGGGCCAGGGACAGTGATGGAAATGAGGGAGTGTAGGTTCAAGAAGGCAGGCAGGTGCCATGGGAGGGAGACAGTTATATCCATTAAATGAACCATTGTAATGAATCATCTCAACCTGGGCCTGATGCTCCCATTTTTAAATAAAAGATTAAGCACTTTGAGATATTGTGGTTAGAACTGTCATAGAAATCCAAGCTTATTATTTCATGTACAAATCTGGATCTAATCACCCCTGGTTTTTTTTTTTTAAACAAATGAGTAGGCTTTGGTAACTGGCTTGACTGTGACGTGAATAAGGAGTTGAGGAATAGCAGCCAGATGAGCACCAAACTTGGGGCTGGGAAAGGTGGGACGGAGGGCTGGGTTAAGGGGGAACGGGTGAATTTAAACAGTATTACATGTATGTGTCATGTTTGCTTGAAGAAGGGAGCATTTGATGCATCTTCGGCATTCCGTTGTGTTTTGACATTTCTCCAAATGTCCTGTAATATATCACACTCTGTTACAGGAAGCTGAATTTGCTAAGTCATATTGCTTCCCAGTAGGTCAAACGTGGTCTTATTTTTCCACTGACTTTTAGTATTTTTGTATCTGTAATCTCAGGACTAACTCTCACTCTTGCTCCTGTTTCTCCATTCTCTCACATCCCATCTGCTAGGAAACCTTGTGGCTTTGCTGGTGCCTCAGACTCTCAGGGATAAACTTCCTCTCCAGTTGGAGATGTTCTAGTCCTAAGGGTAGGGCAGACCCCTGTCATTTTTCTTCTTTCTTTGTCCTTTTGCTGTTTAACCCCCATAACGTACTGTAAAGTAGGGGAATTGAGGCGCTAGCCTTTGGCATGGCAGATAGGAAAGAGGCGCCTGAGGAAACGAAAAAGTACCTAGGAAGGGCCGGGGATTTAGCTCAGTGGTTCTTCCGCTTGCCTTGCATCCACAAGGACCCAAGTTCAATCCCTGGTACCAAAAAAAAAAAAAAAAAAAAAAAAAAGTACGTAAGAGAAAATGGGGAGAGAGGAGCTTAGGAAAGAGACACAGTGAAGCTGCTTCCAAGCTCTGATCCACTCCCCAGGGACTCTGAGGTTGGATCACTGCTGGTCCAGAGTGGCTACTGGTTAGTGCTATGGCAGACAGAGCCAAGCAGCCCTGGAACTCATATTCACGCTATACCCATGGATTGGTAGGACCTATGACCCAAATCCAACTGGTTGATTGTTTTCTTTGTTCACTTAAAAATCATTCCTTGGAGGATTTAAACAAGACTTGTGTTTTTTTTTGTTTTGAGATAGGGTTTCTATGTAGTTCAGGCTGGCCTTGAACTTGCAGGGATCCTCCTGCCTCAGCCTCCTGAGTGCTGGGATTACAGACATGTACTGCCACATCTAGCCAAGGCTTGTATTAAAAAAATACACAGAGGGCTGGGGATTTAGCTCAGTGCTGCTTTCACAAGCTCTAAGTCCCGAGTTCAATCTCCAGTACCAAAAAAATAAAAATAAAAAAAAATAAAAAGTAGACAGGATTCTTCAGAGCCCGCAATACTGACTATGCCCCAAATATGTTGTAAGTAGTGCGGGCTACAGAGAGTTAAATGCCTCATTGGCTTACTTTAAGAAGCAAGTCTGAGTGAAGCAGTGTGACTCACAGAAGTACCTCACAAGCACTGAGGTAGCACACAGGTCAATATGACCTCCCTGCTCACAGCTATGGCTGAGACCAGAGTAAGGGCCTATGAAGCCGTGGGGGCTCATACATGATAACACGTGTACTGAGGTCAGAGTAAATTGCACCCAAATCCATTCCCACAATTAGTGCCTTCATAGCTTGAAGGACAGTGCTCTAATTACAACCAAGTATTTTGTCTATCGTGCTTCTAATTTGAAAATGCTTTGACTCTTCTCTTTAAAGCCTTACCTGTGTTAGTTTCCATGGTAATTAAATGTATTGCACCTTCTACCCTGATTGATGAATAATAAAATTTGGGGGAAGAAAAAAAATACACAGGATTCTAAAATTTTTCAGCCTACAAAGAATGACAACAGGTAGCTCCTATGGTGTCAACAGCTATCAGTGACATAGATCTTGTCCTTTTTCCCTGCCTGAGCCAAATTAGGGCCTCTGCCTGACCAGTGGTCAAGGCTGGCAGAAGTAAGCAGAACCAGGTGGAGATGGGCTTGGCTTTCTCAGAAGCCACCCTGGGCTGCTGCTGAGCTGCATGGCCCTGTGTGGGAAGAGGGTGCTCCTACTTCCAGACTCTTTGAGATGCAGCTTTGCAACCAGGGTGCTCAGACTAAAGGAACCTCTCTATAGTGAGGCAGAAAGATGGCCAATGTCAGATGGTGAAGTACAAGTTTATCTTTAAGCCGTGTGTGCATTTTCCTGTTGTGTAAGATTCTTCCCATTTTTGTTTTTTAGGGAGATAGGTAGATGTGCCTTGAGGCCAGCTGTCACTTTAGCACTGAGATAAAAACCAGCTGCAGAGTGCAGATGTAGAGAGCCTCACCTGACCCTTTGTAGATGACAGTGACAGCCCCTGGCCAGCACTTGCTGCTGAGAGGCAGAGCCCACCAGCCACACATCCTGGTCTCTGATCTGCACTGCAGACCCTGGACTGAGCTGGCCCAGTTTGCACCTGCCATCCTGTCCTAAGAAGGGTGCTCCAGGTGCCCATTGGGCCCTCGGGTTTATCTGCTGCTGTGATTCTCTGAGACCCCGGCGCTGCTGCATCGTTTGAAGTTACGCTTTAATGTGCCTTCAAAGTGTTTTTTTTTTTTTTTTTTTTTTTTTTGCGGATTCTGCTTGATTCATCTCTGTTCTTCTCCTGCCCAACAGCTACTTGGGAATGCAGAGCAGGACTTGCAAAAAGGATGCCTGAGAGAGAAGATGCTGCAGTGTTGGGGCTTATTAATATTACATCCTCTTAGAGCCTTGAATGTGCTCAGTTTCCAGTTGTGCAAGCAAGAAAGGGCTCTGAAAGAAGGTAGTTTTAACTCACAAACCTATGGCGTTTAAGCTATAGGATTACTGTGTGGAACTAAGCAGTTGGTTTGTTTTTTGTTTTGTTTTGTTTTTTTGGTACTGGGGATTGAACTCAGGGCCTTGCACTTGTGAGGCAGGCACAATGCCATTGAGCTACATTCCTGGCCCATAAGCGGTCAGGTTTTATCTCAAGTGGTAAGTAAGAGAGCCCAGAGTCATGCCTTGCCTGGGAATACCCAGTATATTTGTAGTATTTGATATTGGCAAGGGGAGTCAGTGGGGCCTCAGCAAGGCCAGTCACAATCTCAACTGAGCAGTGTCATTCTGCGATTTCAAGGATCTATGTGGTACCTCTATATGCCAGGTGTTGCTTTAGTGTTTTATATGTATTAGCTAATTTAATCCTTACAACCACTATATGTAGAAGGAATCTTAGAGTTTCTGTTTTTTGCATAAGGAAACTGAGGTTTCTGAGATCATTTGCCAATCATCTGTAACTAATACAGAGAGAACTCAAGTCTAGTGCAGGAAGCTTGGCTTGACTTTGTAACCACTGTGCTACCCTGCCTCTCATTTTCCTGTAAATGAGAGATTAAACATTCCTACTATAACTTTTTTTTTTTTTTTGTATTTTGAGACAGGGTCCCACCATGTAGTCCACACTAGCCTTGAACTCATTACCACAGGCTGGCCTTGAATTTTCGGCGATCTTTCTGCCTCATCCTTCCAAGTGCTGGGATTACACGCATGTGTCACCACTCCAGTCTGTCTACCATAACATTTTACAGAGTTGTAGGGAGCACGAAATGAGTAGTGAAAGCACTGTAAGTGAGGAATGGTTGTATATAAAGAACTTTAATTAGACAGAAGAGTCCAATGCTGATGCTGGCAATTACAATGGGAAGCCCCTGCCTACAAGATCATGTCACTTAGAATCAGAACTGTAAGGTCAAAAAGCTGTCCATGTCTTTTCCTAAGAGGGCTTGATCTGAAACAGTTGTTTCCAGATGTTTCTGATTTCATGCATCATTAAAATATACATGTGTGGTAAAGGTACATGTTCCCAATGATGAATGTAAATGTACTGTATACCTAAAATGTACCAATAAAAGAATTTAAGAGGTGGACAGAAAATATACATGGGTGTGTACGCACACATATACACACCCCTACACTTCAGTGTACCATCTTTATTATAAGAGAAAGAACATTTTAACACCAAGAATGTTGGAGAGATACAATCGCTCAGTGGTGCCGCCACCTGCCTCGCAAGTACAAGGTTCTGAGTTCCATCTCCGGTACCAAAAACAAAAACAAAACCAGTGTAGGGGCTGTAGATGTAGCTCAGCACCAACACACCTGCCTGGCAAGCAGAAGGTCCTAAGTTGGATTCCCAGCACCCCCCAAAAAAACCCAAAAGCAACAAAAGAACCAGTGTTTCTCAAGAACAAGAGATGGGACTCATACCCTGGCCAGTGAGATTATTGGCCTGAAGTTGTTGGAGAACTCATTAATCTGAACTGGTTGGATTAGATTCTATTCTGGTTTGGGTTAAATCACCATCCTGTTAGTTGGATATGTGTTCAGGGAAGTAGGAGGCAAACCAAGCCTACCCGGCTTCCTGGTAAGGCTGTCAGAGGTTGCCTTGGCACCCTGAGATGGCGTTCCCCCTCCAGAATCTCTGTCTTTATGTTTCATCCTCCATATGAGATTGCAAACTCTGAGGTCATGTATGTCATTGGTGTTGGGCAAATGTTTAATGCAACTGGACGTGGTGCCCATCCCTATAATCCCAGTACTCTGGGATGCTGAGGCAGGAAGATCACAAGTTTGAGCTCAGCCTGGGCAACTTAACATGCCCCTGTCTAAATAAATAATTAAAATTATAAAATTTAAAAACTTAAATGAAATAGAAAAAGAGATGGGTATACAGCTCAGTGTGAAGGCCCTGGGTTCAGTGCTTTCTCTTTTTTCAGAAAAACATATGACAAAGTTGACCATCGTGCTCATTTTCAAGTGTACAGGTCACTGGTATTTAGTGCGTATGCACTGCTGTGAAGAATAGCCTCAGAAAACCTCTTCAGTAGGCAAATCTGGAAATTCTGGTCAGATCATGGTCTCTTCTTGGAATCCATCTGTCCTGCTCTGTGGGCAGCTTGACTCCCACACGACGGCCCCTCATGGGAGCCCCTGCTGCCAGGTGGAGAATGTGGGAACAGGGGGTTCCCAGTTCCACTGCTAGGGCTGCAGCTGGGGGTGTAGCTCCCAGCCTCTCAAGTTGTGAGTTTGAACTCATTTTCTCAGAAGGAAAACCCTTGTCAACGGGCTTCTGGTTCCAGTTCTAATGCTGTGTCAAGGCTGCATTGGGGCCTGAGGGTTTTGAAAATTAGATCAGGTGCTGTTGTTCCTAACAGTGTTTCTATGCTCAAAAATAGTCTGTTGGTTGGTGTTTGTGAATATTGTGTTGGACTCTTGTTGTAGCCAAATTTTGTTTTGTCAAACAAAGCATTCTGTGGACTAGAAGTAACCATAATCTGACTGCAAGCAAAAATATTTGGCTTTTGCTTGTTGTGGTGGCTGACACCTGTGAGCCCAGCACTCAGGAGGCTGAGGCAGGAGGATCTCTGTGGCCAGCCTAAGCTATACAGTGAGCCCCCCTTCTCACAAAACAAAACAAAGCATTTTTTTGTGTGTGGGGAGAGGGGTTACCAGGGATCGAACTTGGGACCTTGCACTTGTGAGGCAGGTGGCAGAACCACTGGGCTAAATCCCCGGCCTCAATTTTGACTTTTAAAAAAGATAACCTTTATGCTGCTGTTTGTTGGGCCTCCAGGGAGACTTAGAAAGGTGTAAGTGAACTCCTTTTCACCTGCATGATTGAAGTTAGGAAGGAGCAGAATTGGGGAAAGTTAGTGACTTTTCTTCCCTAGTAAAGGAGGAAATTTCAGGAAAAGAGAAAACATTAGAGTAAGAAAGGGCATTTCAGTAGGCTGACTGAAGGACCCTCACGCCCTGAAAAGAGATCCTTAGGAAATCTTGTTGGCAAAATTGTGAAAAACCTGGTGAGGTTGCTGAAGGAAGTTTGGGAGGGGACTGGCCAAGAAATGGCCACCTGAGTGTAAAAGGTGGCTCAGCAGGCAGTCTCTGGGACCAGTTCCATTTGGATCTGAGTGGCTTGTGGCTGGGCAGGGAACAAGTCAGGGAGTGTGTACTTTAAAGAAAACTAGAAGTAACAGTAAAATGATGCTACACATGAAGGCCAATGTGTGTGAATAGCTTGTATCCTAAGGTTTACTGTCACAGGAAATACTGTTTTCTTTTTCTTCAAAAATATTTATACACCTGTAAGCCCAGCACTCCTGAGGCAAGAGGCAGGAGGACTACTGCCAGTTCAAGGCCAGCCTGGGCCACATAGCTAGATTCTGTCTCAAAAAAGCAAAATATAAAAAATATGTATAAGGCCAGCACTCGGGAGGCTGAGGCAGGAGGAGGATCACTGCAAGTGTGAGACCAGTCTGGGATTGGGTCTCTGGTCAATCCAAGTCTAGTGGTATTTCCCACATCTCTCTTCCAGAAGATGCCTTGCACATAAGAATATGTTCAATTTCAAATTCAAGGGGCCGGGGATTTAGCTCAGTGGTTCTTCTGCCACCTCGCAAGCCCAAGGTTCAATGTTCCCGGTACCCCCCCCCAAAAAAAGATACGTGTGTACGTATATATATAAAAAGCATGTGTGTATGAACTTTTTAAACATATCTAAAAATAAAGAAAATGATACAATGAATTCCATATAACCATCAGCCAACAATTACCCACATTTACACATTTAAAAATCTTGTTTTGTCTATTTTCCTGCCACCCCCTTGTGGATATTTTAAAGCAACTTTTATACATCATAATATTTTACTATAAACAATTCAGAGTATGCTAGCCATATGAAGATTTTTAAAATAGGACCATGGTACAGTACCATTACCACATCAAATGAGTATTTATTGTGTACTGTGTTCCAGTGTCTCCAGCTGTGGACTGGGGTGTTGGGGAGGGAGGCTGGAGAAAGGGGCTGCAAGGGCAGAAGTAAACCTGTGTTCATTATTTTAATTGTGGTGATCTCACAAGTAGGAGAACCTGCCGTATGTCAGGATGCACCAGATCGTCTGCCTCAGCGTGTTCAGTTCATTGTGTCACACCAGTATAGAAAACTAGTGTAGCTAGAAACCGTATTTATAAACATTATTCCCAGTTCTCTTATACATGCACTTACACACACACTGTGTACATGTGTGTGGTACTGGGGATTGAACCCCAGACCTCACTCATGCAAGGCAAATACCCTACAAATGAGCTACATCCATCCACAAACTCATTTTAAATTTTTATTTTGAGACAGGGCCTCACTGAGTTGCCCAGGCTGGTCTCAAACTCATAATTTTCCTGCCTCAGCCTCCCAGAGCTCTGAGACTATGGGTATGTGTCACCATATCTAGCTTGCCACATGATTTCTTAGTGATGTGCCCTGTGGTAGCAGTTCCTACTTCCTGTGTGTCCCATAACTGGATGGGCAGCCTAAGATTTTCACTCATTCTTTTAGTAAGAGGACCTGGTAAGTGGTGCTGCTGTGTTCTCTTACTGCACCTTGTCAGGGGCTGGAGCATCCTGCTCTTACTGTAAACTCGGTCACTGGGGTCAGATGTTGTCAGTTTGTCCACCAGTTATAAACTTTCTTGTTAAAAGGCAGGATATGGTGGGTCATATCTGTAATTGTGGCACTAGGGAGGCAAAGACAGGAAGATCACCACACGTTTGAGGCCAGTCTGGGCTATACAATGAGCTCCAGGCCACCCTGGACTAGAGTAAGACCCTGTCTCAAACAAGCAAACAAAAATCTTGCTTAAAATAATTTTAATGTTAATTAAGGTTATTTAATGTTATTTTTCACTGAGTAAAGCTTTTTTTTGTGGGGGGGGCGGTACCAGGGATTGAACTCAAGACCTTGCACTTGAGGGGCAGGTGTGGTGCCACTGAGCTAAATCCCTTCACTGAGTAATTTAAAGAACTGCTGCCGAGATCTGTTATTTCATTGGGGCAAATTTGTGTGTGTGTGTCTGTGTGTGTGACTTTTAACAGCTTTGTTGGCAGGATTTTACACCCAACAAGCTACATATATTTAAAGGGTGCATTTCAAGAAGAATTGACATATATAAACTCCAGCATAGATCCGGACCTGTGTGTATTTTTTATGTTTGACTGTCTGGTGCTGCAGAGAACATGCTGTTTGACAGGTGCACGACAGGGACAAACGATTTCTATGATTAGATTTTCAGAGGGCAAATTCTGGTTTTCTCGGTGGTAGTGGTTGGATGTTGCCATGTGGCAGTAGAGGAAGACGGCAAGCAGAAGAGCAGACGTGAAGGTGAAGGAGGGTGAGGACCCAGTCCTGCTGTTACTGTGGTGTTTGGGGGTGGAGCAAAGTATTTGCACTGTCGTTCGTGTCAGGTGACAGATACCAAAGCATCCAGCTCTGTCATTTCCCTGAACAGTGGCTGGGATGGCCCCTTCCCATGGGCTCGTTCCCTGGAGGAGCTCTGTTCCTTTTCTGCTGAGAAAGCAGATCGAATGCAAGGGCGACACCACCAAGCTGCCAGAAGCTCAAGTCCGCTGGAACTCAGGGTGATACACACCCATCCTCCAGCGTCAGCGTCTGCCTGCTGACAGCATCCGGCAATAGCAAGTCTTGTGAGGGCTCTGGCACACAGTACACCCCCCGACCTGTGTTCATTTCCTCAGAGCTTCTGACACCCTCGGAGAGTTCAGCCTCTGCAGGGTCTCTGAGCCGTGCTGTGACTCCGAGGAGACCCCATGACTCACCTGGCCACGCCCACCGGGAATGCGTGGGGAGGGGAAGATGCGCACCTGCAGGCCTCCGCCCGCTCGCACAGATCCAGCACCCGGATCTGAGCCCCGAGGCAAACCCCTGCCAGGGTCTGCCTCTACTTTGTAGTTCTTGTTTTAGCCCTAAAGGTAAAAATCCAAAAGGCTAGTATCATTGTACTCATACCCCTTTAAAGTCCAATGTAATAATTGAGAATGTGGCCATTTTCTCTTTTCGGTTATTAGAGCTGGATCTTGTTTTTGGTTTTTTTGAGGCAGGGTCTCACTATGTAGTTGAAACTGACCTAGAACTCACTATCTAGCCCAGGCTGGTCTCGAACTCATAGCGATCCTCCTGCCTCAGCCTCCTGAGTGCTGGGATTACAGGCTTGCGCCACCACGCCAGGCTAGAACTGCATCTTAATGTGATTTCCACTTTGTTTTCTAAACCTTTTTTTTTCTTAGCTATATATTGATGATAAATTATATTTTCCATATCTCTTAGAAATAAAGTAGCAAAAAAATAATCATTTTTAACATGTTGTTTATTAAAATGTCTTCACTGTATTTCCTCAAGCAAGCTCCGCAGGTTTGATGATGGGTGCAGGTCTGGGTGCAGTCGGTGAATGGAAGGGTTAAAATACCCTATGCTGTCGCATATGGCAGTGAGCACAATCGCAGATGTTGATGATACCGCGTAATTAGTATTCTTTTATGTAAATGAAGGCTGTCAGCATGTTACCATAGTGTCTCCTCTCTCTGAAACTGGAATTTATGCCATTCCGTCTCACCAAGACCAAGCAGGATTATTCCACGGCTCTTAGCTATGAATAGAGAAAAAAATCAATACGATGGTGGGATGGGGGTGGGGCTCCCCAACAGAGATTCCCGTTTTCTCCTGTTCCATTTTTGTTGGTTTTCCCTCAGAAATTTTATTTCTAGTGATACAGTTATACATTTAAGATCTGCTAAGAATTGTGTTTGAAAATAGTGGGAATAGTCTGATTAAAAGACAATATTTTCAAGGTGCAGGTTTTTTTGAAATATGATTATAATGTCCTGTCATCTCATATGGAGACTTTAAAATGTGATAAATCTAGAAGTTTCTCATCAGAATAAAAGGCAAAAATTAGAAATGTTTCATTATCTTTTCATTTTCTACTTAGTGACATTTATCTATAGAATTATTTAAAGTATTGATTATGGTCTTAGGTTCCAGGTGATCCTGATTTTTGAAATAAAACTATAATAATTAAAAAAGCAAATGCCAACATTTTTGCAGGTTGCCTTTCCCTGTGCGCAGACGGGTCTGGGGTGTGCAAGGCCTTTATTATGTGGCTGATCTCCTTAATGGTGTAGAGCCAGGCCAACATTTCGTGTTCTTCCCAATTACACAGCAGGTTTGTCTGTTTTGGATATTGGGTGCCTGTCACACAGGATGATATATGTTTTATGTGGAAATGTTAGAATTATTGTGACCTTTGAGAATATGAAAGAAAAGCTGTTCGTGTCAAAAAAATATGAAACAGAATTCTTCTTTCTAGTAGAAGGTACGAGGCTTCATTGTGAAAAGAAGCAGGGTGGTACGGGAGGTGGGTTAGACAGACATGCTTGCTTGGGAGAAGCCTGCCTGAGGTTGCATTCTTTTTATCCTCTATATTATATGTTGGATAAAGAAGGACACTTGTTTCTTTTGTGTCACTTCTGGGAGATTCCATTTCCTGATCAGATATGGTTTTCTTTAGAGAAGTCATTCTGCCTGGCTGAGACCAGAGCGGTGAGGTGCAAAGTAGTCCTGTGTTTTCCTGAATGGATTCAGTCTGCCATATGGCAGGTGAGTGAGTTACCACGAGAGGTTTGTAATGGGAAAGGGCTGTGCAGAGGAGGACGTGTGTGATTAGCAGATTTATAGATCAGAAAGTGAAATGGGAAGAGGGAATTTCCCAAGTGCCCTTTCCATTTGACAGGTCTTCTGTACAGTAAAGGTGTGGGGTGGGTTTGGTGTTTTTCTGTTTTGGCTCTTGCCTTTCTATTATATTTTTTCCTAGCACAGGAGTAAGGCATCAGTGTTGTGGATGTTGTGTTGCTGCACTGCTTAGGGAGATGCTCCCTCTCTGGAGGAATGAGGCTGTGCTGTGCTTCACAGGGTAAGATCTTGGTGGTAATTAAATTCCTAAAGATATCAAAGCAAAAATGAGGAACGGCCAAGCATCAGGTCTTGGTTGTAAGAGATATGATTCAGACATGATTCAGTGAGTACTTATCTTTCAAAAGAAAGAAAATTGGGACTGGGGATTTAGCTCAGTGGTTCCAGCGCCTGCCTCATAAGCACAAGGACCTGAGTTCAATCCCCGGTACCAAAAAAAGAAAAAGAAAAGAAAAAAGAAAAGTGGAGTGAACTAAAGCTAGTTTATCCTGGTATGTTTAAGCCTGTGATATCCTAATACTGCAGCCACTAGGCACATAGGATTATTTTAGTTGTAATTAATTTAACATGCAGTCCCCATCCTTGGCAGCCCCACATAACTCACTATCGCATGGAGAGAATACCCCGTGACTGCTAAGTGTTCTGTTGGACTGTATCAGACTGAGTGGAAGAGTTTAACTTCTGTGAATGCTTCATCCTATATAATTTATTGGATTAATACAGTGGTTCTAGGGTTTTACTCTTTTGCTTTTTTCTTTTCCTCTTTCTTTTCTTTTTTTTTTGTACCAGGGATCGAACTTTGGCCCTTGCACTTGCGAGGCAAGCAATGGAACCACTGAGCTAAATCCCCAGCCCCGATTCTAGGGTTTTAATGTGCAAAAGCCTCATCTGTAGAGATTGTTTAAAAGAGATTTTTGCTTATTTATTTATTTGAGACAGGGTCTCATTATGTAGTTCAGTCTAGCCTTGAACTCACTATGTAGCCTAGGCTGGCCTTGAGCTCACAGTGATCTTCCTGCCTCGGCCTTCTGAGTGCTGGGATTACAGGCGTGCGCCACCATGGTTTAAAATGGAGATTGTAAACCCCTCTCCAGTTTCAATTCATCAGATCTGGACGGGGAAACAGGAAGTTGCCTAGGGAATTTCGATGCGGATAGGTAGTTCAGGGACTGCATTTTGAAAAATAGTGAAAATTCGGGAATTGCTCATCTCTTGATGCTTTCCCCTTCATTCTTTTATCATTGACTGACCCCCGTGTACCCCAGTGACTGATTGAGAGAATCATGTGGGTCCAGCTTGTATTCTCAATTGGTATTATTTAGCAAAAAAGAAACTTTGTTTATTCACTCTTGAGTATTTTTTTCTTTAGTACTGGGGATTAAACTCCGGGCCTACACACTGAGTTACATCTAAGCTCTTTTTTTTTTTAGATATGGTTTTGATAATCAACTAAATTGCCGAGGCTAGGCTTGAACTTGCCTTCTTCCTGCTTCAGCCTCCCAGACTCCATTCATCCTTGGGGTGGGGAGCGGTGGTGGGGAACAAATCCAGCACCCCCGCACATGGTAAGCAGGCATCTATAGGCTATACCCCCAGCTCCTGGAAGGGTAACTGACACTACTTTAGACCTCTGGGAGCTGAGCACTCAAAGATTGTCATTATAAAGAAGCAAGAAGAAATACAGTGCATGATCTCCTCTGGAGGAATTATATCTAGTTAGAAAATCTAGTTAGACTCATCCAGAGAAATGACTTTAATGATACTCAGCAACGCCCAGAAAAATAATAAATAATAATTAGAAAAATAATAGAGCAGAATCTAAATCCTTTGACAGCAGTCAGAGAAAGCGTGCATGACCTAGCTCTATGGAGGAGCTTCTAGCTTGCTTTCCTTGTTCAAGCTGAGGGGATCTAAATCAGGGAGTGGTGTATGCAAGGTCCAAAGAATGAATATTTTCTTGTAGGGTAGTTGTTAGCTTCTCTCTCGGAGAAGTTGCCTCCTAGGCTTCTCATGAGCAATACCAAAGAGGCCGTGTTAAGAAGGGAGCGCTTGGTTGTTAGTAAAGAGTGTGTTCCATACCCATCGTGGGCAGATTTGTTGCTAATTTTCTCTTGTCTCCACACCACATCTGTCCTCAGTCAGACTGATCTAATTCTTTATTACTCTTTCAGCACAGTAGGTGGAAGGCTCCCCACCCTTTCCACAAGGTATCAATGTTCTTTTTAAATAGATACATATAAAACAAGCCCCTTTGGAGATCCTTAAAATGATACTGTGTAGAATATCCCTCCCCTCCCCTTCCCTCCCCTCCCCTTTTTTGGGACATGTAGCCAGACTGGCCTGGGTCTCCTCCTTCCTTTTGCCTCAGCCTCCTAGCGCGTGTTGTTGTCTTATCTTTTCCTGATCTTGTGGGTCTACATTGAAATCAACCTGAGGTTTACCTTTTTGTTTGAGGCTATGTGTCCCCTGGCAACTGAGAAATGATAAAGTTTCACCCTCCAAAGGAGCCAATTTTGAATTGAAAACGAATGAGTCTTGAGTGGAAACGCCAATTGTGAGTGTTCCTCTGGAAAACTTTGCTCAAAGTTTTTGTCTTCTTTTCTTTTTCCTTCTCCCTCCCCCTTTGGGACCGCGCGGCGCTAGGTTGAGGGAGTGGCGACTGCGCTGAGACATGGATAGATGCAAACATGTGGGGCGGTTACGGCTGGCCCAGGACCACTCCATCCTGAACCCCCAGAAGTGGCGCTGCCTGGAGTGCGCCACCACGGAGTCGGTGTGGGCCTGCCTCAAGTGCTCCCACGTGGCCTGCGGCCGCTACATCGAGGACCACGCCCGGGAGCACTTCGTGGAGACGGGCCATCCACTGGCCATGGAGGTCCGGGACCTCTACGTGTTCTGCTACCTGTGCCAGGACTACGTGCTCAATGACAACCCCGAGGGGGACCTGAAGCTGCTGCGGAGCTCGCTGCTGGCGGTGCGCGGTCAGCAGCAGGACCGGCCGGCACGGCGCGGGCGCACGCT